TTTTTTTAAGTAGAATAACAACTAATAACTTAATATAAATAGTCATAATATTCAGGGTTAGTTGAGGTCAAGCTCTACTAATTTTAACCATTTTTCCCATTCAGAAGTAAATCTTCTAAGGCCTTGTTCCCCTTTACCACGAGCAATATATTTCTGAACCTTATAGTAATCTTTAATCGAATTGACTAAAGCCGTCACATTAAGTGACTTATGAAAACATCTGGTTTTGTATATATATTGTTTAATGAACAGAGTAATTTCATTATCAATTCTGGTATAAATTCCAGTTTGGTTGATAAAACCAAAGATCATTGATTCTTTATTTAGTGAGAAAGGAATAGTGAGAGCACTTAAAAGACTTTCAAAATTGCTCAGAAATTTTTGTACTTCCCTGCATTCCCATAAAACGTGGGTAATTGTCTCCCTTTCTATGATACAAAAAACACAGTGTGGGTTATTTACAAGTCCAATTTTGCATAAATAAGAATTGGTTGTTAAAATATAATGATTAATTCTAAATTGCAACCATTGCAATTTTGTATTTTTTGTAACCCTGAAAGGAATAGCATATATTTTCCCCCAAGTTTCCTGATTATAGTCGAATATAGTTCCCCATTTTGTTTGAGCAGTTATTGATGCATTATTTCTGATAAGTATATTATAGAAGTCTTGAGAACCTTTTTTCTTCTTTAAAATTATTACAAGATGTAACGGTATAATTGGGTATATCACATTTTTGTTTGGCAAATTAAGTTGTTTCAGATAATTCTTTATGCTTGTTATCAAGCCATGATATTCTAGATAATTAGTTATTGTACCATGTAGATCACAAAATTCCTTAAAAGACAAGAAAGAGTAGTCTGTGTTGTTTTTCAACAAATCATTAATTATCATAATCCCGTTTTTAAACCACTTACTATAAAAAACAACTTTATTACCAACAGAAATATTTTTGTTATACCATAAGGGTGTCTTAAGTAGGGCAAAATTCTCATTTTTAAACAGCTCCTCTTTTGCTCTTAATTTATACCATGCCCTAAACACATCTTTCCAAAACACATTTTTGCAATTTCCTTGAACTTTATTAAGGTACTCGTTTCCTGAGTTAGCCAAGATATGAGGATTTACACAAGATTTTAAAATGCTTACCCATTTACCTTCTGATCTAAAAAACCTTCTTATCCAACTTATTTTCAGAGCTTCAATAAAAGACATTAAATTAACCATTTTTAGCCCACCTTCTTGATAATTTTGGATTATTATGTCCCGTTTAATCTTATCAGTTTTGCTATTCCATAAAAAATTGAAAAGAACAGAATTGAGCTGTTTTATAAATTTTTCAGATGGATTAGGTAAGGAAATAAACAGATGATTCATCTGAGAAATTAATAAAGATTTAATGATATTAATTCTACCAATAGGTGTGAGCAACCTTTTACTCCAGCTCTTAATAAGAGCTTTAAGTTTAACTATTTTTTATCAAAGTTCATTTTAGGTATTTTGCAAAGATCTACATGGAAATCTATCCCAAGAAGAGTAAATTTATTAACTCCCCATCTAAGATTCATATTTGGAAGGAGAACATCATTGCACGAAATGATTGTAGACAGAGCACAATCCAGGTCACCTACCCCCTCCAGAACTAGTATAGAATGTTTTAACCCGATAAGATCGGAGACGTCGCTACAACACGTAAATGCGTTTTCGAGTTCGGCATACTACGAACTTGACACATTCATCATAGACGGCGACCCAGAACAAACAATAATAGGAGGAATTCCCAACACACAGCTACTATCAGCGATTCGTAACTCCCAAACGAACAGCCTATAGGATGACGGTTTTAACTCTGTAAATACTGAAGCTTTTAACAACCTCCTCGTCTTTTACTCCAATGTCGACATACTGACAACCAGCAAATATGGAGAACTGAAGGTACTGATAGAAGAAAGATCTCCTAATATCATAATGCTAACAGAAATTCACCATAAAGTAAAAACCACACCTACGGATAACTCCTTCTACGAAATATCCGGCTACAAAAGCTTTATTGGCAAAGACGATGGTGGACGTGGCACCATAATCTATGTTGACGAATAAATATCAGTGGAAAGAGTTGAATTCACCACATTATTCAACGAATATACAGCGTGTGAAATAACAACAACCAATACAGAAAAAAAATCTGAATTTGTTAGCTGAGATCTCATCCAGGAACAACAGCCACCTTTTAATCACAGGAGACTTCAACTTCCCTGAAATAAACTGGAAAAACTGGATCACATCTGTGTCTGAAACCCATAATGCCACACGATTTTTAGAATCTGTTAGAGACACTTTTATGTACCAACACATCATACATCCAACTAGGATCAGATCGGGTCAAAATCCTTCAGTACTTGACTTGATTTTTAGTAACGAGGAAGGAATGGTGGAAAATATTGAATATTTACCTGGCTTAGGGAAAAGCGACCATGTGCTACTCAGTTTTAATTTTAAAATTGGAACACGTTCTACTCAGAGCAAATCTGAGAGAAGGAACCATTTTAAAGGCCGATACGATTCCATTCGTGATGAACTAGATATGCTGAATTGGCACGATATTCTTGATAACAAATCCACTACTCAATCTTGGGAAATCTTTGTTGAAATCATCACCAAACTAACAGAAGACAAAATACCCGTGAACAAGACAACCCAAAACAGAGCAAGTTGGAAATCTTATCTTGACCTTGCAACGAGGAAATCAATCCGTCACAAAAGAAGAAAATGGATCAAATACCAACACTGCAAAACTGTTTACAACTTTGAAGAATATAAGAAAACCAGAAACACAGCTACTAGAAGAATCAGAACATCACACTATAACTACGAGAAAAAGCTGGCTGAAAACATCAAAACAAATAGCAAGCTTTTTTGGAAGTACGTCAACAACAAAACCCGTACTAAAACAAGCATAATCAACGTGGAGAAACTAGACGGTACTCACACAGTCACCAACAAAGAAACCGCAGACGAACTGAACTTTTACTTTGGCTCTATATTTAATGTTCCTGAAATTGATGATGGTCCTGAATTTCCAACGAGACCTTACCAGACCGAACTATCAGATATAGAAATCACCCCCGAACTCATAAGAAAAGCGATGAAAAAACTAAAACCAAACAAGTCCCCTGGACCTGACATATTTCACCCAAAATTGCTTGTTAAAACATCAGACAAAATCATTAAACACCTGGAGATCATATTCAAAAAATCCATTCAAGAAGGAAAGATCCCAGACGGCTGGAGAACTGCCCACGTAACACCTATCTTCAAGAGCGGTAACCACACCAAAGTCGAAAACTACCGCCCAATAAGTCTATACCAGGAAAAT